AGAAATATGTAGTCATATGTTTCTAAGTTTTGGTTTTTCTGTTATGTTTCAAATCATTTTTAATTGTAAATTACTGAAAGAGAGGTTGTTCCTGCTTATATTGATGTTTTACCATTAGATTATCAATGCGTTCATTGTACGTAGGAATATAAGAAAAGACGTAATTCAGAGGTATAAAAAGATCGAGTGATTTGGCATAACATAAATAACTAGTGGTGGAATCCTAATACAACAAGGAATAACGGATTAATCAAAAAATATATATTTTGTATGTTTTGGTTTATTGATTCATTTTTTAATTGTGTATATGAAAGCTTCATGAAGTGTGTGCTTGTAAATAAGAATAAAATGCATGTGCGTGAGAGGAAAGACAAAGGGTCAAAGTCCAAGTTGTACGTTTTAAATTGAAAAACGGACCAAGAGAGACTATAGAATAAATGGGCCTGAAAATGAAAGCCCACTTTAGATAACTGAAAAGCAAAACGCAGAGCAACAGTTCATCTTCCTCCTTCAAGTCGCGACAAAGAAAATATTGCAGGTACGGATGGTGGTCAGCTGTTCTTATCCAGAGCTTCTAGAAGATTCAGGCCTTTCTTAAACCTAGCTACTATTATGTGTATAAAAGGACTATCAGGTTGTTGTTTCTTACGAGAGAGAGAGAAATGGAGGAAGCAATGGTGAATCTCTACAAGAGGGTCGACGAACTCGACCAATACCTCTCTATGGAAGTGAAGGTTATAGAGGAGATCAATGGGAGGATGAAAACAATCATGGAATCCAGGCATGACATAATACAAAGCATACCAGACGATTTGGAAGATGCTACAAACCGAAGATCTCGAGCCTCTGTCGAGAATTTGGAGGAGGCATGGGTCACACGGTTCTGAGGAAAATAATCAAATGCAGTCCGAGTCGGTTGATTTCTTTTGCTTGTTCTGTGTTTTTGTCACTGCCGACTTACTTATCGGTCTACAAATAATATCGAGTCTTGTTTGCTTTCTTTTCCTTTTTAGTTAATTTGATTTTGTTGCGTGAGAGTCTGTCTTATAAATAATTATGATTGAGTCGAATCAATTTTTATTTTACTATTTAGATCCAATTATGTTTTTCCCACACCACAACTAGGATCATCGTCATTCCACTCTCTCTGCCCCCACTAAATCCGCAATGGCTCCGTCTCTCGGCTTAATTGGGCTGGGGAGGCTTTGTTGCTTGCAAGGCCTCGTCACAAATATATGATGACCCAAGACCAGCTACAATCCTCTACTTCTTACGAGGACATATACCATGTACCATATGAAAAGACTATTACATCTAGTAATTTAATTAACATGATGCCACTTATACCATTTTAATCCATTATTCAATTATCAATTATTATATCAAATTTTAGAAATTAATATTTATGTATACCTTTCATCAATATTTTTTTAACCAAACATATTATTATATAAAAGAGAATGCGCGCGATCAGAGATTGACACGTAGGTAAAATTG